AATAAAGGTTAAATAAAATAAATTAAATAAAATAACACTTGTGGTCCTCCACACAAATGGCCCAACATTTCACAGAAAGGCTAAATGGAGAGGCTAAAAGGAAAAAATATTCCTTTAAAATAAAATAAATAAATAAATAAATTAATTAAAATTCCATAATTTATATATAAACGAATTTTTTAATTATGTTTATATGTTATTTTTTATAAATCCCTTTTTAATTTGCACTATTTATTGATGGATATTAACATTTCATTTGTAGGTTCATTTTATAATTCCTCTTTCTATTGGCCATTAAAACCTCAAATAAAGAATTACTTTCTATATTTGTTTATAGGTTGATACATTTTTATTTATTATTAATTAATTAATAATATTTTTATTGTGCGTTTTATTAGTAGTTAATTAATGAAATGCTTTATTTCTATTTCTACTTGAGGTCCTCCATAGAAAACAGTGAGCGGCAGCATATCACAAATGCTAGCTAGTTTTTCCAGGGAAGTAAATTCTTATCTATTCACAAGTGTAGGTTTTAAAGTTGCTCCAGGCTTTGTGGCATTAGAAAAGACTCTCTAAACTATTTGCGTTATATAATCAAACCCCCTTTAAGTTAACTTAATTCAACATTTTTTATTTGTCTGTTTATTTATTTTGTTTTGGTTATTTGTTTTTTGTTTTCTGCTTGGATTGATCTATTGTTAGGCATGCTTAGCATCCATTGATGATGCCTGTTTGTTAAATAAGATTGTTTTGTGCCCAGTAGGGGGCGATAAAGCGCTCATATGTCTGATGCCAACCCACTGATCACTGGAAGAAAACGCGTCGGCGTGACGTCACTCGTGTAGCGGCCACAAACAGGAAGAAAACATCCAGCTGTTATCTAAGAAGGGAGAGCTCCGGCTAGCGTAGCAGCCTGTGTAGCATTGGCACAGTAATGAAACGGTGTTGTGAGTTGGGAATAGACTGGTGTTGTATCATGCTGTGTCCGGAGTAGTGCCTGTATCGACGGACACCCAGAGAATACCATTCTCCTCGACTTTCCTCCGGTCCGAGTGTTGAAACAAGGTACGTTAGCTTAGCAAGAGGACGTCAGCTAGCGGTAGCTAAGGTTAGCCTGTGTGCTGGGCAGCTAGCAGAGCTGTAGAGCCCTCTTCATCCCGGGCTTTAGACTGCTTGAGCTATATTGAATCATTTAAACAGTTCGTACAGAGAGTAAAGTTGTGTTTTTGACCTTTAGGTATTCATTCATGTCTGTGCAGGTACGACCCAAAGAGAGTGTGTTGTGCACAGCAAGCACTTGTCTTTAACTTCATCTAGTCTGTGGAACAGCATCAGTGCAATGTCAGGCCGTGAAATCAGTTTCACATGTTGTTTAAAAATGTAATCCGATACATTTACTAATTCCCTGTAAAAAAATGTAGTTAGTAATCTAATCCAAGTATGACAATATTAAAGTAACGTGACTTGATAACTTGCCATTACTTTTGGATTACCTCAACAAAAATCTGGAAAACCAGGGAATTCAGAGGCATGTTTTTCAGTCATGGAAACACCTGGAAATGGTTTGAAATGAGCAAATATCCTGGAAATATTCTGTGTTGTCCTGGGAAGTTTTAATTGTATTTGAGTTCCTCACTCAGATCAGAGATCTACTAGGATCATCTGCACAGTGTGACACTCCAGAGCGGGTTTAACACACCGAAAAACACTCCTTTTTCATTTCTGCTCTTGTGCCTATCAAGAGCGGTTCACTGCACTTGGAGTATGGCCAGATGCAATATCCAAATCGCAAGAAGCTGCAATTTGTTTGATAACGGTCAACAAACAAAGTTTACATTTATTGCTGTGGTTGATGATTGTTAATAAGTTTTTCCTACATTTGATTCTTTTGGGTGTGAATGGCTGCTCTTCACTGCAGTCACTGTTGGCCTGTCACTGTTTAAAAAATGAAAGGTTTTGTTCAGCGCGACCTCCTGATTGTTGGTTTAGGTCGGAGTAACTGACCCGGAGACTCACCAAACCTGTCTGTGCTCTCTGTTGGTCCCTGCAGGTGTGAATGAGTGACGTGGTGCCTCCCACAGCTCTCAGTGAAGTCCAGCTCCGCTTCCTCTGCCACGATGACATAGAGAACGTCAAGCTGCTCTGCGGTGATTGGTTCCCAATCGAGTAAGAATCCTATCCAGTTTGCCATAAAGTTTTTGTTTTTGATTTTTGTACACAGCCTGCATCCATCCATCCACATCCAGAGTGCTGCGTATACAACAATATTACAAAAAACTCAGAAAAGGAAGATCCCCAGACAGGGCAAGCACAATTTCTTTTGTAACACTAATACAGTTTTTGTGGTATGAAGAGAATCTGCTGAAGAACTTCTACACACTTTAAGATATCTTGCTGTCATCTACCTCCTCAGTATGTATCAGCAGGTCACTGCCAACCATACTGCTAGCGTCTGTACCACAGAGTGTACAGTCAGTCAGTAGAGTACTAAAATATGTACAAATGCTTTCACATGCACACTCAGATACTCAGTGGTTTTCAATATATAATCACAAAGTACAGTGCAGTTCTATAAAAATAGAGAAATGAATGAATGCAAACCTGTCTCACCCCCGCCTGCAGGTACCCAGACTCATGGTATCAGGACATCACCTCCAACAAGAAGTTCTTCTCCCTCGCTGCCACCTTCAGAGGAGGCATCGTGGGAATGATTGTGGCCGAGATCAAAGGCCGGACCAAAGTACACAAAGAGGTACCACATTGAGCCCTGTTATACAGCCGCTCATACGAGGATTAAACATAAGCGTGTTCTTTGAAGTTGTACTGTGTGGAGGTGCTGGTTCAGTTTATCCACTCTCACCCAGCTGCCATTTGGAAATGCTAGAAGTGGAACACATGGACATAGAGTCTGTTTTTAGCCTGCTAATTAGATGAATAAGATGTCCTCAAGTTAGACTTTGTAACACACAGGAATAAGAAATAAGGGATAACTGATAAAAGAAGCTCTGCAGCTAACTAATTTGGCCTCCCACACGTCCTGGAAAATCTGGAAATCTAGAGACTAGATTTATGATTTATGTATAAACCGGTTGTGGGGAGAACAGCTTGCCACCAAAGAGCTAACACGGAGTGTCTCATAAATGATGAATGAAATGAGGCCACTATTTGTGATCAAGTGCTGTCCTGGAAAGGTCCTGGGAAACAGTTTCTTAATAAGAGTGGGAATCCTGATTTGTCCTTTAATTTTGAGCAGCATGAACAATAGTGATGGGAATTCCGGCTC